AAAATTGCATAGGCATGTCATTGGGAAGGAATACATCACTCTTGACAAGAACACTGAGTACGGTTCTATCACCGATGCACACATTCTCATATGCCAGCCCACCTCACATGTCTTCATTTGCAGGTTCAACTTCCACATACTCAGGTTCACTGTCAGATTCAGCTCCCATGCCCATTCCTAGAAATGGAACTACTGCATGTGGGAATCCAGGGAAGGTACAGACCTCTGGGAAAAGGAGTACAGAACTAAGAAAGGACACTCAGACACCCACCCTCTTTGTCCATCCCATCACTAAATGTGGAGGAACACCACGTTCCACCCAGGAGAATTTCACCAAAATCCTCTTCTCCTCTGAAGGAGAGGTTGCATTTCAGAAGTTGGTTGTCATACTTGTCAATCTGGCAGTTTTCAGACCATCGGCTTTCTAGGAACCCTGCCCTCATTCAGGGCTGGATGCTAATTTAAACTACAAGTAATTACATTAGTTCTCCTGCCATGGCATGATGCTGGAGCAAAATTCTCGGGCCCTATCCAGGCTTGTAGCCAGAAATCTTGCAGTGAAGACATCTAAAGGAGGAAGAAAACATTCCAGAAGGGCTTAATTTGATTTGAGTTATTTTAACAAACTGCCAGCGGTCTACCGTGTGACTTCAGTTTTAATAACAGAAGTGTACTCTGTACTTTGCAGCCCAAACAGCAGAATACAGAGTGGGTGGGACCAGGTTTACTTCTTACTAAGCCATCTCCCCCCCTCCCACTTGGACTCAGTGCTTTACTCCCATTGCTTATAAGACATTGTACCTGATAAACTTTCTCAGGACAGCCTACACAATGACTTTAAAAATGGGACATAATAAAACACAACTAAAAACCAATAACTATTTTCAAAAATGCATTAAAACCAATAGCACTGAAACCAAGATTAGAGAGAGAGAGAAAATCCTCAAAATATCCGAGGAAAGTCTTTGTCTATCAGCTGAAGGATGCTAAGGTGGGACATCCTGCAAGAAGCCTACTCTGATGACACCATTTCAGAAGAGGGGTGTGTGTGTTTGGGGTGTGTGTGTGCCACAATGCTGCAAAGGCCTCAACTTGATTCTTGAGCATCGTCCTGTTTAGTGGCAAGAACGTTCAAAGACGCCACAGGGAGGGGCCTTTGTGTGCTAACCTCAGCCCTTGGAACAAGGACTAAGGGGTGTTTCACAAACTTCCATTTCCACCAGGAAAAGATTTAAAACTCTGAGCAGTTCCAAAGATTAACTACATCCTTTGGGCTGGAAGAGGCGACTTGGCATTGGTGCAGCATTTATCGGAGCTGCAGAAAAGGGAGGCTTTGCACATTGCAATGCCAGACAGTGTGAGCTCTCTCTTTTTGGACGTACGTAGGTCTGGGAAGTGATTGCCACCCATATCCCAAGACTGGCCCTACCACTAAGATGATATGGCCTACCCTATCTGCAGGGAGGGGGCAGACAAAGTCAAGATGGCCGCCCCACCCCCTTTTTTACATGCCTTTGCCCTCTTCCCACTGCCGATCTTTTTAATAATCCAGGGAATACTTGATGTCGCCCACTGCACTGCAGGCTTGGCAGGTCTCACATCCCACACATGCTAACAGCATCTTTCAGAGGGATGCACAGTGATGAAGACAGCTGGATTTGTCAGCTAAGGTTCCCTCAGACGGAGGAACACAAATGCCTATTTATGTCAGTAAAAAAAAAAACCTTCCAGAAGTAGTTCAGTTCTGGCTCTACTGAGAGATGCATTTCCCCTCTTTAGTCTGAAATATGCATTAAAACATTGTAGAGCTATTTTGATTTTATTTTACTGAGTTGCAAATCATCAAACGATAATGAGAAGAAGCTGAAACAACTCAAGGTACGACTTTCAACCCGGAGAACTCTTGGCTTTTTCCTCTCTTCAGACGCTCCCCCCATCTTCTTCGGGGCCTCCCATTCCCCACACGCCTACCGGCCCTGCCATTAGGTCCTTCCCGTGGCACAGAATAGTTTTCGACTGAACCACCAGCATGTTGGATCATCGCCCTCTGGGGGAGATGGCTGGCATGTAGATTGAGTAAATCAATCGATAAACCTTGTCGCAAGGCTTGCATGGGTTGTGGCTGCACCCCTTTCACCCACTTTCTTGGGAACCAACCCCACCGGCACTCATAAGGCTTGCTCCTGCGCGGTGCTGACGTACGCAGGCCTGCGTCCCACTGGGGCATCCATGCCAGCTTCTAGGGCAGCGCCAGGGCAGCCAACCTGGCATGGGAGACTCTGCTGCACGCATGGATTTCTGGAAAGGCCACTTCGCATCAAAGCATCTTCCGTGAAAAGAGGTCCAGTTAAGTAATGCTGATGAGTGTGTTTAAACTTGGACTGTGGGGATTACGGCCCAAAGTAAAGCCTGCGGTCGTTCGATCTCAGCCCACCTTTTCTCCCCATCTCTCCGTATCTGCAGTAGTGCAAAAGCTGTGGCGTGTTTCTGCAATAACTTCAACATTAATAAAGGCATAAGGCAGGCAAAGGAAGGAAGAGTTTCTTTTGGGGAGGCACGGATGGGGAAGGGGAAGCGATCGGTTATTAGCAACCCCTTGTGTGCTTGGGTCTGTCCTTTAAAGTGATCCCCAACATAATCTGATCAGTATTCAGATATGCTGGGTATGCAAATCAGAGCTGCATTGCAGTCCACAGCATAGGATCAGTAGCACTGCAGCATGGAAGGCAAGGTGGGACATGGTTTTTCTTTCTTTTTTGAGAAGCAACGCATCTCGGCAGGGTTGGCCTGGACAGCTGATTCTATGTCTCGGATGCGCGGTCCTTGCCAGTCAATCTAGAGGTGCAAAAAGGCCCCCTGCTCCTCTCCAGGGTGGTGAATATGGTACAATGGGGTGTCAAACAAAGGCTTCAGCAACCGCATTTTACTTCTTGGGGTTTCCTACCAGGAGAGGGTGCTATGGAGGACTCAAGTCAAATATCTGCAACTCTCGGGAGCCCCTACGGGCAGGAGGGGGTATTACGGAGAATGAAGTTTCTATGCCCAGACTAGACCTCTCCTACCAGGAGAATCAACATATGCAGTGA